AGGCAAGTACTTGTTAATTGCTTTATACATATTACCTTATTTAATCTTCTGACCAGCCCCTAGGTGGCTACCTCAAAGGGTTGTCCTAAAGATTAAATGAGTTAGTACATGCAAAGCCTCCAGATAAAGCCTGCACATAATACGCATTTAATATATCTATCAGCAGCATCACCATAATCTTCATCTCAATCTCTTCCTCCTAATCTTTATTATTATCCTTACTTTATAAGTGAGAAGTCTGAAGCCTAGACCTAGTCAATAACTTGGAACAGCCAGGAAGAGAATCAGCCATGGGGGAAGTGTCAGATGAAATCCAGGTTGCCTGCTGTCAGATTCCTACTCTTCTTGTGATTTTTTTAAAGTTTTATTTATTTACTTTGAAAGAGAGTGAATGTTAGGGAGAGGCAGAGAGAGAGAATCCCAACAAGGCTCCATGCTGTCAGCACAGTCTCCGACTCAGGACTCTAACTCACAAACCATGAAATCATGGCCTGTGCTGAAATCAAGAGTCAGACGTTCAACCGACTGAGCCAAATAAGTGAATTTTAGAACACTTATTACAAAAGGCTTCCAATGCAGTAAAATAGTTAAACCCCACCCCCTTGCATCACACTTTAATTTCACCTATAGAGTTCATTAGGGTTATTATCAGATCTTATAAAATCAAACCTCAAAGTCAAATAGGATTTCAGGAAGTTTGTGTGTGAGTCAGGGCACCTCAGCCCTGACCCATAAGCAAAGGGCCCACTGGAAACACTCTGCATCAATCCTACACACCAGAATAGTTTCTGTAACTATGGAATCTTTTCTAAAACTTCAGAACTAAGTCAGAATATGTTCAAAAGGACAATTGGTCACCCATTTACTCATCAAATGCCTTTTAAAAATTCTTCCAATCTGTCACTGATAAGTGCAGGGTCTCCTGGCCTGGAGATGGATGTGACTGACACTGACCTATTTGAAAATGCGACCATTTGAAATTTCCAGTCAAATGCAGATCAGTTTTGTTAGTTGAGGCTTGAAGTTTGAATCAAAATTCATCCAGACATTAGCACATTTTCATATGCTCCACTGGGGGAAAAGAAAGCTCTTGATTTAATCTAGTGCTGAGCAAATGGCAGTCATTGTCACTGCGTTATGCTTGTGTTCTTGCAATTATTACTTTAAAAAATGTATTGAAATGTCTCTCCTTGATGTCATAAATAACCACAATGAAACATACATTAAAATTAAAACATTTCTAACAGAAACAGGTATAGAAACCAAGGACATCAGGATGCTTAACCATGATTTTTGCTTTGTTTTTAAGTTTTAAAAATTTTCCCCTGTGTGTGTGTGTGTGTGTGTATGTTTAAGTATCACATGTCTGACAGATCTGCAGTGAAGTCTGAAAACAAGAGAGCTGCCAGGATCTTTTAAAATATAAAAATCTGGAGTGCCTGGGTAGCTCAGTTAGTTAACCACCCCACTTCTGATTTCAGCTCAGGTCATGATCTTATAGTTCCATGAGTTTGAGTCCCACATTGGGTTCTGTGTAGGATTCGAGCACAGTGCTTGCTTGGGATTCTGTCTCTCTCTCTCTCTCTGCCCCTCCTCTGCTCTCTCTCTCCCAAAAATAAATAAACTTTAAAAATCTTATAAAATATAAAAATTTAACTTAATTCTACAAAGACCCTGTAAATTAGATACTATTTTTGCAGATTAGGGGCTCAGAGAAGAAAACTATCCCATAAACTAAAGATTGGCTAGCTGGGTATCCACTGTACCTACGTTTAATCTCTCATATGTTCTCTATTATAAAGGCAAGAAAATTGGACACAATCTTTCCCAGACTCCCTTGCACCTAACATTGTAGATATGACGTAAGCTCTACCAGACAGACCCCCTTGTCAGACTGTTGTTTCTACTGGCAGAAGTAGGATTGTGGAATTGTGCTATGCAGCATATTGGGTTCTAGTTTCTAGCTCGAGAGCATTGAAAGGCAAGACACAGGGCATTCATCACGTGTATGTACAGATTTAGCTGGCACGTCATGGCTCTGGAGCGAGTAATTATGGTGCAGACAGCTTCCTGATTCCTAGATGGCAGCTAAAGTGGTGTCTTTCTGGAGCCATCAGTTGTGTGTTAACCTCCTGTTTCCCCATCTTGTTGACTACAGCAATGGCCCCGGCAGGCCAGCTCTGCAGTGTGTGCACTGAGCATCCTCTTGGAGACTCAGCATAGAACCTGCTCTGGTGCCCTTCCAACTTCTCCTGCATTCATTTCTTACTGCTTGAAGTTTTGGTTTCTGTTTTATTTCACTGAACTCTGACCGATATATTAAGTAACTTACTTACTCAGCCAAGAATTACAGAGTCTAGATTCAGTGCATGCCTGTGAAACCCCAAAGTTCACACACTTCCTTTGATGGAAAGCTATGAAGTAAAATTTGCTTTGTATCTTGTAAGCACAGACATCTAAGGGGTGTCAGGTGAGAGGACTAAGTTGGCCAAGCTATTAGGTCTCTGGATGGGCTCTTGTTTCTTACCCTTGTTCTCTACCCTATGCTGTGAACCTCCCCCCTATTCACTGAGCGAGGATCATTTTCATCTGTTTCCTCAAGAGAACATATACAGAGCATAAAGGGGCTCATTATTGGTTTTTAGTCACCAAAGTCTAAGCCTCCAGATCCCAGACACTAAATTTCCCCAAGTTGGGAGAGGTAGACAAAGAAAGAGGAAGTAAAAAGAGCCAAGACATATTAAATACGTGAGAAAGGCCTGAGCTCTGTCCCTCCCCTCTTCATGCCCAGACTACATCTTGGGATGCATGTATTGAAAGATTAGAGAAACTCCATGACATTCAGGAATCCTAGAACAGAAAAGTCCTTGCATTGTTTCCTGGAGACAGCCCGGAAAGGCACCTGGGGTTGCCTGCATGCAGGGTCGTAGGGGAGCCTATGAAATGGCTGCATGGTTTCTCTGGGCAGCCAGGCCTTCCAGCTGGAGGAGTATCAGGAACCCACTGCACCCGAGTTGCAGGACAGCAGGCAGGTCAGATGGGAAGGAGGAATGTACTCGAGACCCTGGAATGGAGTCTCAGACCTTTCCCACTGGCCACTGAAGTCCAGCTAGAAAAACACCCAACAAATGCTGGGCTGTGTTAACAACACTGGAGATCAGAGTCCCAACCACAGTGCCCAATCCCTCCGTGACCCTGAATAATTGCAGAATTTAGACAAAACCCCAGAGAAATATGGGAGTTTTTTTGGCGGGGGTGGCGGGGGGTGGGCAGTGAGTAGAATAATCCTGAATTGAATGAAATAAAGGTTCCACTAGGGCTTGAAACTAAATTCAAACCAGCTATACAAAATGAGTTTATGTTTCCTGTATGCATACCCTGTCTCTTGTGCTCTCTAACTATATAGCTTCTGGTTAATTCTGATACTCACCCTCAAGAGTCATTGATCCAGAACAAGGTCAGCAAACTACAGCTAGGCTTATGAGCCAAATTCGGCCTACTGCCTGTTTTTTCTTTTTTTAATATCCTTGCCTAATTTTGTAGGTTAAATAAAGCCATGGCTATGTCCCTTCTTTATGTGGCTGTGTTTGCAGAGTTGAGTAATTACAACAGAGAGGGTACAAAGCCTAAAATGTTTACTCTCTCTACAGAAAAAAAAAAAATTGCCAACCCCTGATGCAGCACATGGGCTCCATCTCATCTCCTCCTTTGCACTCTGGTCCTTTTGCTTGTACCATTAGGACAAAGTCTCAAATCAAAATCAATGAAAAAGCTCTGCCTTTTTTTACTCTTAAAAATTATATCTATATCCATCTCCAGCTTTTCCTTCCTGAACTCTCCCAAGGATGAGTTCTCCTTTGACCACTTTTCTGTCCCCTTATGTCCTATGACCCTGCACTTTCCTGGTAGCCCCCATCTCTGGCTTCCTTCTATATCTTTTAGGGGATTCTCTTTGTCTGCCTGCTTCTAAAGTTGGTGTCTTTTATGGTTGTCCTATGCACACTGGTTTCACTCCAGTCACCCTGGATGCCCCAGATTCTTCTCAGGAGGACCAGGTTTTCCTAAGTGCTCATTTGTAGGGAGGTGAACCGACCCAGGTTACTAACTTCAGGGGATCTATTCCCTTGGCCCAGACAATACCAATACTTTGGCCACTGAATTAATCAATTGAATTAGCACTGAATTAGTCAATACTAGCCTTGAGCAAATAGCTCAAGGAGTAGAATGATCACTTAGTACGCAAGGATTAAAAGACTCATGGTTAATAGCAGAGGCTCTGGAGTAACATTCATAAGCTGTGTACATTTGAAGCTCCACCTCTAATTAGTCATGAAGCCTTGAGTAACTTGATTAACTTCTTGTGCTGCACTTTCTTCATCTACAAAATGAGTATAGATGAGTATTAGAACTAATAAGTTTACTATTGAGGTATAATAAATACAATATACAATAAAGTGTTATTCTCCTTGATCTTAATTAAAAAAAAAAAAACAGCAACCTGGGGCACCTGGGTTAAGCATCTGACTTCAACTCAGGTCATGATCTCATTGTTCATGGGTTTGAGTCCTGCATGGGGCTCTGTTCTGACAGCTCAGAGCCTGGAGCCTACTTCGAATTCTATGTCTCTCTCTCTCTATGCCCCTCCCCTCCCTGCTCCAATTCATTCTCTCTCTCTCTCTCTCTCTGTCTCTCTCTCTCTCTCTCTCTCAAGACTAAACATTAAAAATTAATAAAATAAAAAATAACAACCTCTCTCCCCACAAGACCCACAATCCATAAATTCTTTTTAACCATGTGTGAGGTTGTAAATAGGAAATAATTTGTTTATATATAAGCCAAATGCTCGAAAAGCCTTTTCCTAGAGATCTATAACAGGTAGGAGTAGAAGAAGAGAAAATGGGAAGCTATCTGGGAAAAGGGAAGAATGTAGTCTGATATATCTCAACAACCAATATAGTAAAACTTAAACAAGGAGAAGATGACCAACCAAAGAAGCTTACCTTTGCACCCTTCACAGGTCAGTGCATTATAATGGTATCCAGATGCTCTGTCTCCACAAACAACACATAATTCATCCCCTTTTATTCTCCCTGTTGATGCACCCATTCGGGCTCTTTTTGTTACAGGAATCTCTGCTACCTCAATCTCTCCCTGGTAGAGAGTCTCAGCCGGCATTCGCCTGAGTTCATATATTCCAGGAGAATACCACTCTTCAGGCTGCTGGGGGTAGAAACCCAGGTTGGAATAATAGGACGATGAGGAAATCTGTGGTTGAACTTGGGGAAATGGAACATTGTATTGTGAGTATGGTTCCACTTCTAGATTCTGTCCCAAAGGACCTGTTGCTTGTTCTGTTAGCACACCTGGATAAAACAAGAGTAACAAAACTGGAATTAATGTCTAAGCAGAGACCAAAATTTAACTGTATAAAAATTAACAACTTTTTTTTACAGCCAAGCACATTGTAAAAAGGATTTATGACAAATTACAAGCTCAGAAAAATATCTGCAACATGAAAGACAAAAGATTCATATCATTAATATGTAAAGAGCACTTGAAGCCAATAAGAAAAATTCAACAGCTCATGGAAATAAAGGATAGAGGACATGAATGTACAGCTTTTAGAAATACAAAGTGTTTTTATAAGCATACAAAAATGCATTCACTCTTACCAATAATTAAATTTAAACTGCAATATAAACTATGACCATGTTCATCCTCAAACGAGTCAAGGTTAAAAATCATGACAAAACACCCTCTTAGAAAAGCAAACATTCTTAGAGGTAATTTTTCAATATCTTTCAACATCTAGAACTCCAATACTCTTATCCCAGCAATTAGACTGCAAGGAAATTTTTATTTTATTATTTCATATTATTTCATTTCATTTCATTGAAAGAGATGGCATGCAAATGGGGGAGAAGGCCGAGAGAGAGAGAGAGAGAGAGAGAGAATCTTAAGTAGTCACTTAAGATGCTAGGCTTGATCCCATTACTCTGGGATCATGACTTAAGCTGAAATAAAAAGTCAGACGCTCAAATGACTGAACCACCCAGGTACCCCAAGGAAATTTATTTTAGAGATAGGTTTGCATCTGTGTGAAATGTTTCTGTAAAGATGTCCACTTACAGAAACATCTGTAAGAACTATAAATCAGAAACAATTTAAATACCCACCAACAGGAGTCTGGTTAAATGAATTACATGATATCCATGCACTGAAATGCTATATAAAAATGAAACAATGATTTAGACTATATGTACTGATAAAGAAAGGTTTCTGTGATATGATACTACTCAAAAATTTAAGCTATAGAATAATGCATAGATTTATGGGGGTATTAAAAAAATAACGTGGTGTGTGTGTGTAAGGAAAATTTATGTATAATAAAAAAGGAACTGGATGATGTAGACTGGAAAGTGAGATTGTTGAATTGTTTTTTGGGGTAAGAGGTTGCACAGTCTTTATACTGTTTGTGATTTTGCCAAGTATATTTGTATTTTAATCATTATAAAACAAAGAAGGAGCTTTGAAAAAAATAAAAGGGTGCAGTGCCTGGAATTGTGAGTATGGTTCAAATCCCAGTCCTGTTACTTATTTTCTGTGTGCATGTTGGCATTTCTAAATTTAATTTGTTTAATGTTTTATTTATTTCTGAGAGACAGAGAGAGAGACAGTGTGAGCAGGGAAGGGTCAGAGAGAAAGGGGGGTACAGAATCTGAAACAGGCTCCAGGCTCTGAGCTAGCTGTCAGCACAGAGCCCGATGCGGGACCCAAACCCACAAACCATGAGATCATGACCTGAGCCGAAGTAGGGTGCTCAACTGACTGAGCCATCCAGGCACCCCTGTTGGCATTTATTTAATGTCTTTAAGGATCAAATTTCTCTTCATAAAATAGGGAAAAATACCTACTTCATTAGGTTGATGTAAGAATTAAACAAGATAATGCATGCCAAGCACTTTGGTAAATGTTGGACACACGAGGAGTACCTGATAAGTTATAGTTGCCATTAAATTATTATTAATAATAATTATTCCTACTACCATTATTACAAAATGAGACTTTTATCTATAAAACCTCTAGGTATTAGGAAACTATCACGTTGTGAAAATGAAATTCCAACTCTGTTTCCTATGAACAGTGGGACTTTGAGGCACTGACAAACTCCAGCAGCAAGCCTGAGATGAAAATATCTATATCAAAGGTATGGTGAGGAATGAATGGCATATCCAGATTCACAGGTCTTCACCTGAAACCCTTGGTATCACATGTGTTTTGGAATTCAGAACTGTTTGTGTTTTGGAACAGAAAATAGTGCTATTTTTCCCAACATGGTTTGGGACAGAACTCAGTATCAAATACAGCACTCTTTTCCACAGTGAAATGTACAAATATTCATACTAAGAGGAATTTTTAAAAAGCCACAAATATCCTCACATCCATTCAGGTCAGGTTTTGCCACTGAAGAGTTTGTGTCAAACTGTGGATAGAACGTTTGGTTTTTAGAGCATTTGGAATTTAGAATTGTCAGTTAGGGACTGTGGATTTATGTATCTATATATGTGGAATATTTTGTGCAGTGCTCAAAAAATGGTTGTAGACGTGGTTGTTATTTACTGCTACAATGACTACTGTCAGAAAACTCTTAGTGACTCCCTCCTAATGCCATGCACTTGTATATTTTCAACTCTCACAAAATTGTATGAGGTGTATAACATTATTATGCTCATTTACAAATGAGTAGCCTGGGGCACAAAGAGAAGTGAGGCAGCGTTACTCCTACCTACCCAAATAGCTGAGATGTGAACTTGGATAGTCTGACTTCAAAGCATAACTAGTCTCTGGGAAAAGCCATGTGCTGCATCACTTGGATATTTCAGATGTGTGATGCTTTTAAAGCATGATAGTGAACGGTTTTCTCTTCCTCCCTTTGGACTTCTTTTGGTTAGTCCCTTCAATGCATTTGCTTGCAAGTAAGCTGCAACCAGGCGTCCAAGGCTCTGCATGATCCTACCTTTTATTTTCTAGCCATTTATCATGTTTTGACTTCTCTATTCCTTGAATGTGCACTGCTGCTTCCAAACTCAGGACCTCCCTTCTCCTCACCCCTACCCTCTCTCCTCACCCCAATTCCTTCCTGAGTCTGGAAACTTCTGCAATACAGCCATCTGCTCACAGAGCTTCATCTCACTATTATCCACTTGTCTCTAAATTTGTTTTAAAGTATAAGCTTCTCTTGGGAAGTCTTCCCTGACTCTATATTCCTGGGCATCCTGAATCTAATTACATATTACTTACCTATCTTCTCTGGGCTGCCCTTTGCTCATCTGTAAAGAAAAGACTTCACGCTGAATGATCTTATAGTTCTTCTTTATATCTAAAATCTCCAAAGTATGTGACTAGTAGCCTATAGGCATGAGAATTCAGGGATCGTCTACAATGGCAATGGGGAATATAGGCATATCAAAAATTTGTTGAAAACAATGCTTTCTGCATTGACCCAGAAAAAGATTGTTGAAGCACAAAGTATATACTATCTGGGCAAAAATTAACTTCCTGTCTTTTATGCTTGACTTCATATAAAAGCAGCATTGAATCAATATATCTGACAGACAAAATGTTTCGGCAGTGGTACTTTGTCTTATTGCCACAAAATGGAAGAATATGAAAATATGATATTATCACAGCAAAAAGAAAAGATAAAACATAGGCAAAATCCTGATCTATTTCAACCAAATAAGACTAAAATTTGTGGAATGAATGGGTTTGAAAAGAACTGAGAAGCATTAAAAACATTAGTTTCACTTACACTTTTTCCTAGATTTTATCCTCCAACTGATCTTACCCCAAGTCAATTACCTGTCCCCAGCCCCAGCTTCTCTCTGTCTGTAGGTCCAGCAAGGTTGAGCAACTTGCCTGAGGTCAAGAAACCAATTAATGATAGAATCTAGATTTTACAAAATCCAAGGAAATGTGTAGTTTTTTTCTCCTCAGGTGACAATTCCAAGATCTCAGAGCATTGTTTCAATAAAACTAATATTCTTATAATCAATAGACACAATGTACTCCCAAGTAGTCAGATCATGGACTCAGTATCAAATTAGTCTTTGGAATCATTTTAAGTAAAATGGAAAGCTTTCACAAATACATCAGTAATATCACATGAAAACAATAAAACATGGTAAGAATATGAGAACAGCACATAATATTATTAAATAATGTTTCTATTCCCAAAGCACATCCACTTCTAGTATTTCAGTGTCCCCACCAAATCTCCACAGAGTAGGGACAATCAGTATGCAGGCAACTTATAATAAAAAAAACCAAGCATGATCAACATAACCCCAAAATAGTGGGATTAGAACAGTTTACATCGTGAACTCCCTGAGAAGCTTCAAACAACTGCCTAACATTTTTCTTTTTCATTTTTTTCTGGGACTATTAACACCCAACCTTGCTATCTCACAGGTAGTTCTGAATATAAAATAAAGTAGTTGAGAAAATGTTTTGATATATTGAAATCCATAAAAAGACATGTTTGCTTCCAAAAGAACCTAGCAAAATCCTGATTTTAATGACAGTTGACTCATAGTTAATGAGTAATTATTAACAGTCTATTTTGCTAACATAAGTTATAGGATACTTCTTTCATTTATAAATATGTACTGAGCACTTGCTATTTTCCAGGTACTGTGCTAGGCTCTGAGGATATTACAGTGAACAAGACAGAGAATACAGACACAAAAGGCCCCATCCCTTCTCTATGTGTGTGTGTGTGTGTGTGTGTGTGTGTGTGTGTGTGTGTGTAGAGAGAGACAGAGATGTCAAGGAACAAAAACAAGTAAACAAATACCAGAACTTTCTGATAGAACTTTCCACATCAGATGTGGAAGGGACAGAGAGGTAAGTCAACTTTAAAATATGCTTTCTAAAAAGGTACATTTATTTCTACTTTACTACAATTTAAAGGGAATATATATATATATATATATCATATATTTGGATTTATTAGAGCTTTTCTGGAATCAGTCTATCAAGGAGTGGGACAATTTGGATTCCTTTATGACAGGGAATGCTTCCTGAGAGTTTAGGAAGAGCTTTTAAATGAGAACACATGAACAGACATTGGGGGAGTCTGAGATCCCCTGCAAAAGGGAAGCAAAATTCTTTTGGGTAGGGTGTCTCTAGCATTTAATAGTTTCTCTAAAGCAGTATCATCTAATGGAATTTTCTGAGATGATGGAAATGTTCTATACCTATCAATATGGTAGCCACTAATCATATGAGAATGTGACCAGTGATTTTAAGAAACTGAGTTTTAAGTTGTATTTAATTTTATAATATATATATATTTTTTATT